TGTGAGCCAAAATCATCACAATTAAAAGAACCAAAGACTTAAACTACTTCAGTCTGTGTGCATTGAATTTATTTAATACACGAGTTTCACAATTTGAGTTGAATTACTGAAATAAATGAACTTTTCCACGACATTCTAATTTATTGAGATGCACCTGTATATTATGTTTATATGTATAGATATATATAAATTTTCAAAGAGAAATAAGGTCTTCAACCGTATCTAATGCTATCTTTACAATACTTAAATGTGAAATGTAACTTAAAGGGGCCCTATTATGCTCTTTTACAATGTCTTGAATTTGTTTTGGGGGCGTACTAGAACATGCTCTCATGTTTGGTGGTTCGAAAAACGCATTATTTAAGTTAAAATGGCTTATTTCTCTGGATTTAAACATTCTTCGAAACATTTGGGATAATGTAAGTACACAAGTCAGAAAAATATATAACACTGTATTAGTGTTTTTTGGATATTTTAATAAAAAAAAACTCGTACATATTGTGCCTTTAATGAACACAGAAGCAAAGCAGCACCAGAGCAGTCTTTGCGTATTTTAGAAGGCCCTTATGTAGCTTTGCCTGTAAATGGAGCAGGAGCAAAGTCACCTCAACCTTTCAAGTATTTATTTAAACATATTAGTTATATTTCATCGGAATGTACGATATAATATGGGGTAAATTAACAATAAAGTTAGGTCAAACAAACAAAACCCTGTTATGACACAAGCTTGGCCAACATGATCATTCATATTCTACCGCCAGATGGCGCACCCGCCCGTTTATTGTACTTAGACATGATTGTTCGGAGTTCAGCGGTGAACGCGTATTTCCACTTGCTCAGGTGGGTTCAGTTACTTCTCCTGTTTGTACTAATAACTGGTTTAAAACTAAATGAATCTTTAGTGGCTAATATTTGGGCGTTATTCAGAACATTCTTGTCCAGCAACAGTCCACAGTCGGCGTTTTAAGGTGCTAACGTTACCTGTTGGCAGCGCAGGGCAGGATTGACCTGTTATAATTAACGTTACGGTTGTTTTTAATAATTTTACAACGATTTATGCTGAGGGATTTCATTTCTATATGTACATGCAGTCTCATTGCAAACAGTTGGCTATCCAGTAGAGGGTAGCAGAGTTTCATGCGTAAAGGTAGTACACTAATTTATTCCATATTGTCTGGCATCATCGGTCTGGCATTCATTTTTGGGATCCTGAAAACCAAAATATATGTGTTCCCTCATGACTACTTCCTAAAACAACTAAATAAATTATTTCAAAAACGTAGCTCTGTTAAATGAGACTTAAAATGAGAAAACTAGACACCATTTTCCATGAGAGACATACAGGGCAATGTCAGATTGAAAATTCCGATCAGTCTTGAAAATTATTATTATTTTTTTTTTTAAGTCATCAATATATGACATATTTCTTCCATGGAGCACAAGTGAAACAGCAGGATCCACACTCACTTGTATACTTCTTAATGATTTTTTTGGATTTTATTATACAAAAAAGCACAAAATGGTTCATGGAACACAAAAAAGAGATATTAAGCAAGCTCTTTTCCGTATAAAGAAAGCGAATGGTGACCAAAGACCGTAAAAATCCAGAAATGATGAAATCGTCTTGACTTGTACACAATATTCCAAGTCTTGTGAAGTCATTAGCATTAGATAATTTATAATTTTATTTTTTTTACACACGAGTTAACCAATCCAAATGCAAAGATACACATGAAATGTATTTGAATGGGATCCATTAAGCTGGAACAGTTGAATCATAATATAATTTTCACATGTGGGTTTTTTATGTTTAAGAGATCCAACCATATCCATCTCCAGCACATGATGTCTCCTCTACAGGCGTTGCTTCTTCACGTGATATTTCTCCCCATCTCTCCGGTGTCTCGCCTGGACACGAGACAGCAACTAATTGGAAGCACACTGCTTATATACTTCTTAGAACTGTTCTATTTTAATTCAGCGCCAGAAGCCGTTTGAAACAAATTGCAAATGGAAGATAAAGACGTCTTACAAAGTGCAAAGGAAGGTGCATGAGATTCTAAACTTTTATGAAAGTTGCATGGTTTGCATTATGAGTCAGTTCGACTCATATTTTCAATTTGCTCATATGCTGTTGTCATACATGATGATGTCAGTATAAAAATAAACACTGCAATGTTGGAAAGCACTCGCCACACGGTCAAGTGCGGTTGGGTTACAGTTCCAGTCTGTTTAAGAGCCTCGTTGGTCTAAGCGAGCGTGTAATTGTGTGTTGACTTCTGTTACCTTTGGTTTTACAGTCTATTCCTCGCCTGACTCGGCCTCACGCAGAGCGTCTGGCCTCATGTGAGCCCTCAGTCACATGTTCGCACCTCCCAGGTGTTTGGATTAGAGCGAAAAGAGCAGGACAGTCCGGGCTGTGGGCGGGAAGCACTGGAGAAGATGAAAAGAAGATGTGGGCATGGGTGAAAGAGTGCTGTTGTAAACAGACTTCTTTTGTTGTTCCTGTGATTCAGAGAGCTTCCTCCCAACAGCTGCTGGTCACTCCAGGTCCTGGGGTGTGTTTAGTGGGGTTGTTTAGCTATAGATATGAAGCTCTGTTACCCATTATCGTGATTCCCTGAGTCACTTGTGAGACAGCACAGCCGCCCTTAAAGAAATGCCTTATTTGGCCTGGTCTGAGTGTGGATAGTATAGTATGGAACAAGATGGTCTCGGAGAGATGGTTTACAAAAATATAGACCATTTAACTGGCAGTAAATTTGAAAGCCATGTGAATATTTAAATGAATTGATTTTACATTACATTTATTTGTTAACTTGTTGTATTTCCACAGTTTGTACCCAGCTAACCAAAATGTTCTAGGAACATTTTACTAACGTTCCAATTAAGTTTTGAAAACATTATTTCTAAATGTTCGAAATGTCCAGTTTTTTAATTAATTTAATTGTTTATGCAAATATTGAGGAAAAATTCCATTTGATCAATTTGTAAACATTACGACAATGCTACTTTTAAATGTTCTCTGAACATTCTGAAACAAATAGTTGCTTTTAAAAAGTGTTAGACAAACAATCGACAAAAATGTTGCATGGATGATGTATAAATAACATTTTTGTGCTAACGTTTTGAGAATATTATTATAAACCAGGTAACTTTGAACAAACATTAATTAATGTTAGTGAAAGAACATTTGTTCATAACTTGGAGAGAACCTTGCCAGAACAAACAAGTTCCGAGAACGTTCCGTTTGCTCAGTAGCCTAATATTTGGGTAGTTGACAAACTTATGGAAATATATGAACTTAATTTTTTGCAGTTTCGAGTTTATATCTTACAATTCTGACATTCTTTTTCATGATTCTTACTTTACTAATTGTTAGATGTAAACTCCGATTTTGAGCACAAAAGTCTTAATTGTAAAATATAAAGTCACAATTACATTTTTAATTTATTTATTTAATTTATGTAAATTTACTCTAATATCTTTTTTTTAATTTTTTTTTATTATATATATAAAAAAAAAAATGTTGGGTGTGCACCTTGTCAATTTTAGCCCATTATTTATTTTCATGTTATGGCTGATAACCGATAAATATCTGATATTAAAATTCAATACTATTTCATGTAAATAAATTAAAAATAGAACACTTAAAACCTAAAATCATTCGTTTTAAATGCTACAAGTGAATTTAAGCTTTACAACATTACAATGTATAGTATGAAAATATGGATGTTTATTTGCTAAAGTTTTTATTTAAAATTGTTAAATGGTTAGTGGTTAGTTTACATTTAAGCGAGCACTGGATGATGGCAGAGGTCATCTAAAATTTTAAATGAGGGGAAATGAGCATGTACAATCATATATCCAACACTGGCAAATAGTGATAAAACATCTTAAAATTGGCAGATTACTGGTATAACGTGGTACCAATATATTGTGCATCACAGCTTTCAATTAATTTTAGGTCATAAAAACTTTGTCAATTTCATGTCAGCAACTCATTTGGACACATTTAACTTAGTTCTCATTTCATGTTTGCTCAGATTTTTGTTTTCATTCCATTTATGTTGAGAATACGTAAAATTTCTTTCTTCCTCATTAATTCAGTTATGGCCGAAAGTGTACTATATCACAACTTCTGCTCTAAAGAAGCTTACATGTCTTGAAGATTAAAGCGTTTTTCAGTTAGCATGTGCATGTCTGCAAGTATGTAGGTCAAGACTGAGCTGTATAAGGGACTAGTGTTGTGCTGGGCCATACGAGGGGATCTGACAGGTTGCTGGCTGCAGGTTAACTGGACAGAAGGAGGAGACAGATGCTTATCTAATGGATAATGGGGTTAATGTGCTTGTGGCACTACTGAACTTCTACTGTATGAGACTAATGCTGTCTAGTTTCAAGGGTGAAAGTGACCGCAGAGAGATTAAAATAGGTGTTACGGGAATTACGGAATTACGGGGAGCTAGAGGGCCCAAGACCCCCCTAGTTCCAGTTATAGCTCCTCTAGTTATCTTTAAAATGCGGGCCGAGGGGGGCTGCTCTACTGAACATCAGAGTGTCATTTA